TGAAGGTAGTTGGGGTAAAGGGGGTCTAATAGCGGGGGGTAGGGGATGGGCGAAGTGGGTAAAGGGGATCAAATATATGGTAGCTGAAGGAAACTGAACTTAAGGTGGTGAACACACAATAGAATATACAGATGTCAAATAATAATGTACACCTGAAAATTATATGATTATGTTAACCAATGTTACCTCAATAAATTTAATTTAAAAAAAAAGAAAAGTATAATACTCAATTTAAAGAAATCTAAGGAGATGCAAAGAAATGGAAAGATATTCTGTGTTCTTGGACTGTAATAAACAACTAGTTAAAATGACCATATTACCTAAAGCATTATACAGATTTAATGCAATCTTCATCAAAATTCCATCGGCATTTTTTAAAGAAATAGAACAAAAAGTCATCAAATTTCATAGAAGCACAAAAGACCCCAAATTGCCAAAGCCATCCTGAGAAAAACGAATGAGGAAGGAGGCATCACTCTGCCCAAATTCAAAATATACTACAATGCAACAGTAATCAAAACGGCATGGTATTGACAGAAAAACAGACACATTGACCAGTGGAACAGAATCGAGAGTCCAGAAGTAAACCCATATTCATATGGGCAACTAGTTTTCGAGAAAAAAAGCCAAAAACATACAGTGGAGAAGGGAAAGCCTCTTTAATACATGGTGCTGAGAGAGCTGGAAAACCACCTGCAAAAGAATGAAACTAGACTGTGGTCTATCACCACACACAAAAATTAACTCAAATGGATTAATGGACCTGAATATAAGACCTGAAATAATAAAATGCATAAAAGAAAATATAAAAACTAAACTCATGGACCTTGGACTTAAAGAAGATTTTATGAATTCGACCTCAAAGGCAAGGGAAGTAAAAGCTAAAATAAATGAATGGGACTACATCAAACTAAAAAGCTTCTGCTCAGCAAAAGAAACCGTCAACAAGGTAAAGAGACAACCATCCGAATGGGAAAATATATTTGCAAGCAACGCCTCCAATAAGGGTCTAATATCCAAAATAATCGAAGAACTCATATGACTCAATAACAATGAAAAATCAAACGATCGAATCAAAAAAAAAAAAATGGGCAGTGGACCTGAACAGACACTTCTCCTTAGAGGACATACACATGGCCAACAAATATATGAAAAGATGCTCAACATTGCTGGCTATTAGGGAAATGCAAATCAAAACCACAATGAGATACCATCTCACATCTGTTAGAATAGCTATAATCAACTGGACAAGTAATAAGAAATGTTGGAGTGGATGCAAAGAAAAAATAACCTTCATATACTGCTCATGGGACTGTAAATTGGTACAGCCACTATAGAAAAGGGTATGGAGGTCCCTCATAAAACTAAGAATTGATCTAACATGTGATCCAGCAAACCCTCTACTTGATATTTACTCCAAAGTCTTGAAAATCCATATCCGAAAAGATATTGCACGCTGATGTTCATAGCAGCTTTATTCACAGTGGCCAGTACATGGAAGCAACCGAAGTGTCCTACAATAGATGATTCGATAAAGAAACTGTGGTACATATATACAAGGGAATATTACTCAGCTATAAGAAGAGATGAAATGCTGCCATTTGTGACAACATGGATGGACATCCAGAGAATCATGTTAAGCGAAATAAGCCAGATAGAAAAATTTGAAAATCACATGATATCACTTATATGTGGGATATAACCCTAAAAGCAAAAAATGAAAAGGACAAACAAAGAGATACCCATAGACATGGACATTAGACTAGTGATTGCCAGAGGGTAGAGGGGAGGGGGGAGGGGGCGATCTACGTTGTAAAGGGGGTCAAATACATGGTGACAGAAAGAAATCTAACTATGGCTGGTGAACACACAATGTAAATATATATGTGCCTTTCTGTTAAAGTGTACACCTGAAACTTATTGGATTTTGTTATACAATGTCACCATAAAAAAACAATAAAAATAAAAATAATTTATTTAAAAAGGAAAGTAGTCTGGAGAGTTGCTATCATCTTCAGATGTTCATTCTGTCTTAGTTCTTTGGGATCTTACAGCTTGAGCTCTGTCTCTAGACCCTCACATCCCCTGTACTATTTCCTTTCCTTGCCCAACAAGGGAGAAGGTAGAGAGCAGAAGACACACTTGCTGTCAAAAGGAAGGACATATATAGATTATCTGGCAGCAGAGAGTCCTTAATGTTGCCAAAAAACTCCTTAAGAAGTGTAGCCACATCCTATACATTCTGAGTGTCATCCAGTACTGCATCCAGACCTTGATCGCATTCTTCATGGAGCTAGAAAAAAAAAAGAATACGTGAATTGTCTGCCCTGCCCACTGTAGGCTCCCTCCTGGTCATGCTTTCATTAAGTCTCAGGCTTCATAGTAAGTAGCTGGCAATATAAAGATACATTGATCAATGGAACAGAATAGAGAGCTCAGAAATAAATCCACGCCTATACACTCACTTAACATATGATGGAGACAAGAATATACAATGGGGTAAAGACAGTCTCTTCAATAAATGGTGCTGGGAAAATTGGATAGATGCATGCAAAAAAAAGCAAAAAAAAAAAAAAGCTGGACCATTTACTTACACCATATACAAGAATAGACTCAAAATGTATTAAAGACTTAAATGTAAGACCTAAAACCATAAAACTTCTAGAAGAAAACATAGGCAATAAACTCTCTAATATTGCTAACAGTAATTTATTTTTAGATATATCTCCTCAGGCAAGGGAAACAAAAGAAAAAATAAACAAATGAGACCACATCAAACTAAAAAGTTTTGTACAGCAAAGGAAACCATAAAACAAAATGACAACTGCCTAAATGGGAGAAGATATTTGCTTATGATACAGCTGATAAAAGGTTAATATCCAAAATATATAAAGAACTCACACATCTCAACAACAACAACAACAACAAAACTCCAATTAAAAAATGGGCAGAAGACCTGAACAGATATTGCTCTAAAGAGGAAATACAGAAAGATAATAGATACATCAAAAGATGCTCAAGGTAACTAATCGTCAGAGAAATGCCAGTTAAAACCACAATAAGATATAACCTGACACCTGTCGGAATGGCTATCATCAGTAAATCAAAGAAGAATAAGTTTTGGCGAGGATGCTGAAAAAAAAGGAACTCTCGTACATTGTTGGTGGGATTGCAAATCGGTACAGCCTCTGTGGAAAACAGTTTTGTGGTTTCTCAAAGAATTAAAAATGGATATGCCTTTTGACTCAGCAATTGCACTGCTGGATATTTATCCAAAGAATATCAAAACAATTATTTGTGAAGATCTATGCCCCCTATGTTCATGGTAGCAAAATTTACAATAGCCAAGATATGGAAGCAACCTAAATACCCATGAACAGATGATTGAATAAAGAAGTTATGATTCATATATACAATGGAATATTACTCAGCCATTAAAAAAATAAAATCCTACCATTTGCAATGACATGGATGGACCTAGAGAGGAGCGGGGTTTGGGGGGCTGGGAGAAAGGGGTGAAGGATTAAAGAAGTATGAATTAGTAGTTGACAGATGGTCACAGGGATGGGGAGTACAGCATAGGGAATGCAGTCAGCAGTAATGTCATGGCTAGGTGGAGAGCCAGAAGGGAGAAAGAGCAATTAGGAGGATTGTTTTATAAACTATATAAATGTCTAACCAATGTACTGTATACTTGAAACTAATAATAAAATTAAATTAAGATAAAAAGAAAGTAGCTGGCAATATGGTGTGTCTAGGGGCTATAAAGAAGATCTTACTCTCCCCACCAGATGTGAAACTCTTTTCCTGTCTTTGGGGAAGACCTGGCCTCGCCTGCCTTTTTTTTTTTTTTTTTTGATTAAGGAACGAATTTTGATATTTTGCCTATATCAAAATTTCTGGGAGAAAGGGGTGAAGGATTAAAGAAGTATGAATTAGTAGTTGACAGATGGTCACAGGGATGGGGAGTACAGCATAGGGAATGCAGTCAGCAGTAATGTCATGGCTAGGTGGAGAGCCAGAAGGGAGAAAGAGCAATTAGGAGGATTGTTTTATAAACTATATAAATGTCTAACCAATGTACTGTATACTTGAAACTAATAATAAAATTAAATTAAGATAAAAAGAAAGTAGCTGGCAATATGGTGTGTCTAGGGGCTATAAAGAAGATCTTACTCTCCCCACCAGATGTGAAACTCTTTTCCTGTCTTTGGGGAAGACCTGGCCTCGCCTGCCTTTTTTTTTTTTTTTTTTTACTTAAGGAACGAAAGTGTAAACATTGCCAATTTACCTCAAGTACTCTCTTCTCGGAGTATTCCAGAGTGAAAATCCCCACTGTGCTTAAGCCTGAAATAAAAGACCAGGAGATGCTAACAATCTCTGGTTCCCTTCCCTATGGCATCACTTCCCACCCACATCTGTATGCATCCAGACCCCAACAGTGGCAGTGGAATGTTCCAAGCCTTTCATCCTGCAACCTCTTTTCTCTCCCCATTTCTAGAACGTCATTCTTTCTCTTTAATTGCCCCCTACCTTGATTTAAACATCATCTTCGGACCCCTTACCACGTTTCTCAATAAAATTGCAGCAAGCCTCAACAACCTGGGGGACTCGTTTAGCAATTGGATTGAGGCTCATTTTCTTTTTGGATCCCAGAAGTCTCTGGCCAATTGGAAAGGAAATCCTGGAAAGCTGCAGGGTCTGCAGCAGCAGGGCCCCATTCTTCAGGTCAGCCAGGCTATCTACATATACTGCACCTTGTGGAGAAACCCAGACTATCTTAAAATGGGGGATTTGGAGGGTCGATTTGGACCTTCCTGAGGATCGCATCACATTTATAACAAGAGATAGTCTTTCTATGGTAAGTCAAGTACACCTCTCTAACAAGTTCTGTTCAGCTCCCCCTTTCCTCTGACTATATAGGCCTTCACCCTCCCACCGTGCATTCTTGTACACCTCCGGCAGGGGCCCTGTCTGAAACCTGGAGGATTTAACTCACTCGATGCCCACAGCGAGTGAACTCTTGGGGTAAGGAAGGGTGATCCCCTCTGCAATTGAAAAAACGCCTGATGAAGCCAAACACTTTTTGCAGCCGGTTTCCCTGACAGCCGCTGGTAGCCTGACTCACAGATTCTTCAATTTGCATTGTGGCTCTTAGTTCTAGATGCTTACGGAGGGTAAACTCATTCACCAGCACCTCTTCCAGACGAAGGCCAAACATCTTGAGTGATATGGCTGGGGAGCCACGGAGAGGAAGAATGAGAAAAGTCAATTACCGGCTTAAACAAGGAGGAACTGCAGGAGCTATAGCACTCCTCAAGCAACCATCCGCAGTCAACCTCCACCCCTCCAGACCCACAGCGACTCTCCCTGGGGAATGAGCCAAAAAGACCCTGTAGTGGTTTGGCTGAAAGACTCAATCCCACCCAACTACCCCGACGGAGCTCAAGGACCCTGCCTTAAGTCCTGCCAGAGGGTAACCACCTTGAAGCAATGAGAACAGTTTCTTCTGAGCAATCAGTCTAGACTGGATCCAACAGCAAGGCTTACGCAGATTTGATGGAACCACCCCACGTCTGAAGTTAGTGGGCCATTTCCTGAAATCATCCCCTACTGGGTTACTGGGAGGAGAGAGTGAGTGCCGCCAGGGACAGTGGGCACCGCTTATCCTCCAGTAGCCAAGGACATAATACAAGAGGGGTGCAGCATGCCATTTTTTTTAATAAGGAATGTATGGGAACTCTTCACACTTCTGTTGTCCTTTCACAATCAGAAACCACTTCAACAAGGTGTTTGGGTGATCAGTGGGTAGAACTGTGGGAAGAGAAAAAGAAAAGGCACGGACACTCACACAAATAGGGTTTGATAAGTTACTGAAACATAGCAATGCATTGATCTGCAGGAATGGGGGCAAACATCTCTAGTCTAGTCTGCGAAAAGTATTTTGTTTCCTCTCAGCCTCAGTTTCCCCGTATGACAACGGAATTAATCCTATCTACCACATATGAGACTCCAAGAATTTAACCAAACCAGACCGACGATCTTAGGCGCGGCATGTGCACTGCACATCTTGTTAAGCACCAGTAGTAGCTCAACATAACACTTAAAATATAAATTCCAGGGCTCTGGGCGCAGGGACAGTGCAACAGGCGACGGGACGGGCTCTGCCTGCTGCACCTCGGAGAGCAGCCGTCGTTAAATTAGTGCGGGCGCGCTCACACCCAAGATGCGGTCGGCTCACTCAGCTGTCCCCGCGCTCCGACCCTGCAGCGGCGGCTGCCTACGGAGTCTCCTCAGCCTTTGCTTTGCTGCTTTTAGAATGTGCCCGCTCCGCACTCCTAGCAAACCTGTCACCACTGCACTTTTCATTAGGGCAGACGCGCCCCTCGGACCGCACGACTCCCTCCTGCCTCTCCTCAGCTGCGGAATCTACGCCTGCACCCCTAAGACCCCTGGCAAACTGGGCCCCCATCCGGTGCTTATTCCTTTTTGCTCCGCTGCATCCAGTCGAGCTGGGCAGAGCTCTTGGCGCACCACTTGCCGCAGTTTTATGTCGGGATTGGCGCGTCTCTCGCTGTCTCCTTTTACTCTCTGTCTCTTTACCGTGTGCCAGTCCTTTCTCAGAGTGTCCCTCTGAGCCTCTGTCCCACTCTGACTCCTTGCACCACACCTGGTGCGTCTGTCTCTTCACCTGTCCTCCGTCAACCTGTCTGTTCCTGACATCTACTTGTCGGTCTTACTTCCCCTCAAGCCCAAGCCTTTCACCCAACTCAACTAATCTTTACCTCTTCTGCAAATCAGAAAACACCCTTCGACTCCCGCTTTTTCAGCTCTCCGTGTGCCAGGAGAACTGACCAGGTCTGAGACCAGGAGTGAGCCCCTCCTACTCTTTTCGACCCCCAACTCGCCCTATCTCGCCCCGGGGGGTACACTAGCCCGAGAGCGAAGGACACCATACTCCAGGTACTGCTCACCTCTGTCAGGTCTGAATTCAGAGAGGAAATGTCTGGCCTCGAGTTCCTGGTAAGCAGTCTCTTGCAGCTTCAGACGCTCCAGCTCGAAGAGACTGTGTATTGATATCATCTTTGTCTTGCCCTCTGGGTTGTGTCTCTGGGCTCCTCCCAGGACTAAAAATATGAAGGCAGACAGCAACAGCAAAGGGGGCATGATTCTGGGGCACAGTGTCCTTGCTGCCTTCAGAAAAGGAATGTAACCACCCATTCTGGAATCGGATGATTATCAAGGCTACATCATCCAATTGTCACTGGACCTGGAAGAGGGAACTATGGAGAAGAGAGGGGGTTGATAGAGAAGAAGGGAAAACTGGGAAGCAGCTTCACCCTCAAGCAGAGCTGCCTCTGATTACTTATCTTTAAAGAAAAAAATCCAACTTAAAAAAAAAATCCAGCCCTGAACTGACAGTCAGTCCAGAAAAGAAAAATCTAATTAAGAAAAA